TTGTTTGTCACTCTTGTGGGGCACTCTGGTAGGACATTCTTGCGAAAACGTCTTGTAGGACACTCTTGTATGTCACTCTTGCGGGACAATCTTGTAGGACACTCTTGTGGGGCACTCTTGTAGGACGCTCTTGTAGGACATTCTTGTGGGACACTCTTGCGCGGCACTCTTGTGGGACACTCTTGTTTGTCACTCATTGTGGGACACTCTGGTAGGACACTCTTGCGAAACAGTCTTATAGGACACTCTTGTATGTCACTCTTGTGGAACGCTCTCGTAGGACACTAAGTGTGCAAAACGAGTGTTTCGTATGAGACGTCCTCCAAAAGTCACCCGTCAAGTCTTCAAAACGAGCATTTCGCACGAGACTTCTTCCAAAATTCGCTCGTCAAGTATCCAAAACGAGACTTCCTCAAAAACTCACCCTTCAAGTCTGCAAAACGAGCATTTCGTGCGAGACTTCCTCCAAAGTCACGCTTCGAGTCTGCAAAACGAGCGTTTCGTACGAGACTGCCTCCAAAAGTCAAGCGGGAAGCTCGGAGCACACACATCGATCATCCCTGCCGTGCAGTTTCGCGATTCCAGCCCCTCCAAACAACGCCCGCTCACACGCCAATCCCAATGTCACAGCGACATTCACCTCCACCACAGATCGCAACCTCACGACTCCCTGTGCCTGCCACGAAAATTTACGTGTCCACACGTCTGACACACACACACACACAAAGTACGGTGCCTGCCACGAACTCTGACCTCCGCCACACCTCGCAACCTGACGATTCCCTGCACCAACCACGAAAATCGCACTTCCACAGCACATCCAAAAACGCACAAAGTACTCCGCCTGCCACGAAAAGTGACAATAACATATCACGTAAGCCTCCACAAACACCACGCCACACGTTTGGAATGATCTCGACACATTCTGAGCACGCTCCCATCCACCAAAGTCGCCATTTCAGCTGAGACTTGTCACGAAAACACCGCTTCGGTGCAACACCTTGAAACGCCAATCCCAATGTCACAGCCACATCCAACACCCCAAAAAAACACCACTCCCCAAACGCCGATCCCACTGACAACTGCCGATCTCACAAAACGCTGCGCCTGCTCCACACTTCAACATCTTACATTTCCACACGTTTCCTCGCTATTTCACACGAATCCGACACGTCATGCTTCCACGCCAAGCCCTCTCCAAAACCTTCGCCCAATGGCAGCGGCCTTAGCGGCCTACTGCGGTTGGCGGCGGACGGTTGCGGACGATTGCGATCGCTGCGACAACGCGTCGCGAACAAGGCTCTACCCCCAGACCCCCAGAGTTAAACGAGAACCCTTCGCTACACGTTCGGGAAAAAACTTGCGACCCAAGGGGCGGGCGCGCAGCTGCAAGGCCACACAGAGCGGCCACCTGAGCCAAAGGCTTTTTCCTTGCATTCAAGGGTCCGAAACCAGGTGTATATATATATTTTTTTTTTTGGTCAAAATGTATATCTGTGTGTGTGCCCCCCTCCGTTTCTAGGAGGTTATGCGTTTCTGAGCACGTCAAGAGCAGGGGGCGACAGGGTCGCTGCAAGGCTGTCGCCAACGAAGCTCCATGCAGTCGACCAGGACGCAGGGACTGATCATCCCTGTGTACCTGCACTTTCAACTGTTGACCAAGCCGTTCCACTCTCGATTTGTTTCATGGTGGTTTTTGCATGCTACTCCCCACAAACAAGTTTCCCTCCGCCGCTTTCCACGGTCGCGCAGCTGCAGTCACGCGTCAACCTTTTGTTGAAACATCTTCAATTCACTGGACTCAGCCGCCTTTCCGTTCCATCGCTCCTTTTTGCCGTGGATCAGGATTAACTGAACACCCTGTCACTAAGTTTGTGCGTGTTGTAGCTAGTGGGTGTTGAAAAATAGTTTTTCCATGTAGACTGTTGATTGATGGACCCCCTTCTCCTGGTTATTGCAGGTAAAAAGCATCTTCAGGCGCCACAATAGATAAAAGACTTATTCATCGACCATTCACATGATAGAAGCAAATTATGGTACATGCAAATGTGGATGAATTAGGTGAGAACCTGCTGACCCACCTCAGAGATGTGGGTCAGCAGCTAAAAACCCGCCTTCCACGCTTCCAACCTCCAAACCCCTGCAGGTTTCCCACCGAGACGCTCCAAAGGCATCTGAAACGAGGGCGTCGTCGCACTCACCAGCACCGACTCGGCGGGAAGACTCGACGCCGTGGCCTGCGGCGAAGACCCGCGAGCAAAGCACGTGACTGAAGCCTTCGCGGTCCAATCGGTCCGATGGGCTTTGCAATGAGGTGGACTTCGCGGTCTAATCAATTGGGGCACTGGAATGGGGATCAGTAGATATATGTAGATATGCTGTTTTTGATGGATGTTCAGTGTGCCAACTCACCTCTTTTGGACCCCAATAAGGTGGAGCTAGTGGCAGATAGCTGCACGCCTCAGTCCAGTTGAAGATTCCCACAAACGACACGGAGGAGGGTCCTTCATGCCGGGGTTTTTTTGGACAAAAAATATGCCTCTTTCCTGCGACTCACTAAAAAGGACCAAAACCTTGGGTGTATCCTAGTATATCCTAGTCCCTGTAACAGTGGATGATAGCTAGTGAAGGCCTTCCTCTAAAATATATAGTTGTTCACTGACTGCAACAGCTCATAGGACACTTAGAGACGAAGCCCAAAGAACTCCATTGAAACTGCTGGAGCTTTGCGTCCCGACCTTCGCTTCCCCCGCTGGGCCGTGCGCGGACGTCGGCACCAGCCACGCCGAGCAGCCGCAGCACGGCATGGCCAAGCACGGCGCAGTCCAGGGAAGGCCTTCTGTAGGTATACGGATAGGGGTTTTGGGGGTACAGGCCCTGCAATAGGTCGATGATATCCCTGGTGTGTGGGACTTCTGCATGCAGGGGAGCCTCTTTGATGTGTCACAACTATCATGGTTCATGCCTTGGCAGACAAGTCTACGCTGCCCATCTTGTGCCTTGTGTTGTGTGGACGGAAGTGATGCTGATTGCTCGTCAGGTGGGGGGTCGAAACTCGACATGCATGGTTGCTCGTAGACCGTGTGGAGATGGTGTAGTTCCAAAGGCGCACATTGGCCACATAGAGCCGTTGACGTTCTATCCCAGCTGGCGCCAGCCACGGCGCTGGCTCGCCGTAGCTGTGAAGGAGGAGGAGGAGGAGGAGGCATGGAGACACTACAAACAGACTAATGCGTCTAAAGGCTAATGGCAGACGCGAACACGGACCGAAGCAACTGTATCCATGTCAAACAGTCCAACCTATATTAGAGTTATGCTTCCAGGAAACTTCAAGTGAGCTCCTACCGGAGTGCCAACATGTTTCAAAACCTTTCATAGAGGCAGAGGCACCATTGTTTTTCCTAAAGGTACTTGGGAAACCAAATGGCAACTGCCAAAATGGCAGCGCAAACAGTTACATCTGGAGCCTATGCGCCTCTTCTGGCTTAAGGCGCACACCTGTGACAATTTGCCTATTGCCAGCATTACCGATCAGATTGCCGAGCAATTTGGGATAGATCGCAAATCCATTGTATGTAATCGCATTGCAGATGAGGCTGCAAGACAAACGGCTTTGGATAATAACCTTCCCATCAATCCCAAGGTTTTTTTCTCTCAGATTGGACACGAAGTATTTGTGCGACAGTGTTTCTTGGCCGAGCTCAATAGAACAATTGGAGATGAGCTTGCGATCAAAAACTTCGATATTGATGATTTCTCAACACGTTTCCCACAGTGGGACTGGCATCCAATCGAATCTGATTTCGACTGGATCCCGCGTCTTGATGAAAGTGTTAGATGTGTTAGGCAAAGACTGGAGCAAGGGTTTGGTCTTGAAGATGCCACCACGCTCGCCTCCTTTTTCGCTTCACTACGTTGGAAACAGGCGGAACATCTTTCTGTCGGCTATGTTGAACTCGCGTTCATTTTTTACCGCTTGAAGTTCACACTCTCGTGTGTGTGTCGTCGTCGGTTGATACGTTCCTCACCCTACTGAAGAAGGTCAAGAAAGCGTGCAGTCTCGTCTTTTCCTGCCCGGGCCAGTTGACTATCCCTGGCCGGCATGATTCGGTGTGGGCGCATCGTTGCGGCAAGGCCATCCCTAAGGGATCCATACGTGCTGCACGGCCCCTCATCAAAACTCACGATTTAAATCATTTTGCAGGCCTGTTGCTCGAAGGGCACGGCCAGAAGTTGAGCACATGGGAATTTGACCTGTGTTGCTGTGATGGTTGAATTCATTTCTGGGGTCTTCTTTTCTACGTTTGTGCCATGTCGACCAGAGAGTCGCGGGTACTGCTGTATCGCACGCAGCATGACAGATGGGAACAGAAGGAAAGTTCTTGTCTTCAGGTGCGCGAGCAGCCCACGAAGTCAACACCCGAAAGTTCTTCAAGTTCGACATGGCCCAAGCCATTCTTAGAATGGCCACCTTTCAGAAACGTATGAATCACATCCTTCCTTCCCACATCCCCTGAGAGTGCCTCCCATCGTCGCACAGGTCGAGCGGGTCGCCCAGAAGATCCCGGTCGATCGAGTCCGATTCGGGGACCAAGTGATGGGATGAAGTCATCGATCACGCAGTCGACCAGGCTTGTTGATGCTGATCAATGCCAGGACCACATGTGGAGGGGCTTTTTTCGAATTGAATCACCTAGAGGTGGACTGGACTAGGATCTATTCGACAAAAGCCTTGACGACGACAACAACAACAACAATGACAGGGGGAGGCGCTGGTACGTAATCACCACATACAAAACTGAACCCGCTTGTCTTCTCTGTCTCATCGACACGATTTTGATCTGCCTGCACCTGGCGGCCTGCCGGCCTCTGTCAATGACATGGCCGCGACTTTCTCTCAGCAAACCACCTGGGCTCCCAAACTCTTGCCCGGCGCAACTTCGCGAGCAACTCGCTGCGCAAGGAGGCCTTCTTGCCCGGTCACTGTAATGGCAAAAGCTTGGAGGATGAACGAGGATGAATTGGACAGGTGCTTGGCAAAATGCTTTGCGAAAGAAGCACGTGATGACACGCCGAAGACGCCTATAATTATAGTATATTATAACATCATATGTATATAATACATAATATAATCGTCTGGCAGCTGCAAGTCAAGAAAATGTCCTTGCAGAGCTTATTTCAACACCAATGCCGCACGAATCCGCACGATCAACTCCATGCATATCGAAAACAAAACATTTTGGTGTGGACCAAGCCCAAAATGACATGTGAGGGATGGGCACAACACTGGGTCCCAAATACCAAAGCGTTTTCACGGGGCATCCTGACAAAGGTCCAGCAGAAAGTGGCTCTGGATGTCACAGCCCAACATGTGAGATCCAGTGAGGTTGTTCGAAGATCGATCCAAACCCCATTGACAAGTCCTCCATTTCTCGGAAAGCGAGTCCTCAAAATGAATTTAAAAAGGGGCCTATCCAATAGTCCCCTTGGGTGAATAGGTCTCACCCCCAGCTCTCCCCCCGGTCGTCCACCACCACGCCTGGTGCTCTCCATCGTCCCGATGAAGCACCTCCTGCAGTGAGGAAAGCTCCGGTCCAGCCACTATCAAGAAAAAAAAGAAAAAGAAGAAGAAGAAGGGACAAAGAAAGGTCGACTAAAGGATTAAAGAAAAAATGAAGGCCTATTCAGCCTTGGCAAGTTCAAACAAGTGGTGGGGTGGTGCAACAGCCATGCTGCAAACTTACAAACAGCGCTGACAGGGTTCTGCCGAAAGTGGGACGGTCTCTTTTCTTTTTCGGTTCAAGGTGGGCCCCCCCTCCGCTCACCCCAAGGTGCATGAACCTGGCAAAAGGTTCTTCCCAAGATTAGGGTTATTACTCTCTGATGTTCAGATATGTTCAGATCTATACTATATACAGTATATATACACATACGATGCCCCTTTTCAGAAATTCTTCTCAAACGGTTGCTTCTTCCCCCCGTTTCGTTCCGCACTCATCCGTCGCCGTTCTTGCCACGTGTGACCAACGAACGTGCAGACGTCCCAAAAATGCAGACCGTCGTCGTGGAATCCAAGCAACTTGCCTTTCAACAGCTATAGGCAAGTTTTTCCAATATGCATCGTCCCAGACGCGAGCCTGAAACCGTTCGCACGACCTGTGGTGCATGTGTCTTATATGTCTTGTTTCATTGCCTTTGGACCTTCCATTCGTCAAGCCCCTCTGTTCGCATCAACCGTGTGCATTCAGGCCAACGGGGCAACACATCGTGTGCAAAAGGCATCCCGATGTCCGCCTGGTCCGACGTCCAGCCTGGTAGTTACACCATCTTACACCAGAGTTGACTCAGACAGGGTCAACAACTTGAAAACCCTCCAGTCCTCCACTTCTGGGTCACCCAAGGCATGGAAACGTTGCCAGGCGTCCTGGGAGGAACGGAAAAAACACAGGTGATGGGCATGCCATGCCGCACTCAAACCGGCATCGACTGCTTCGTTCAATTGCTCATCCCGGACACCTGCACCAAACACTCTCCTCTCCTGGCTCAGCTCGCCCCCCTTCGCCTCAGATGTGGTCAATGTAAGCATGACATACCATACTAGGCTTTATACCAGAACCTTCCAAGAGGTGTCTATAAATTGCCTCTTGGTGGTTAAGGGGTTCGTCCGAAAACCAATGGACTTCGAAGGTCCTGGCACATATTGACACATATTGGATGTCTAGGAAGTTTGGCCAAGACCCTGCCAACCTCTGATCCAGTGCCTTCCTTCAAACCTCGCTGCTTCTGACTTTTTCGCCTCTATCACCCGGCGCGACGGACAGCTGGGCGCCCGTCTTCTTGGGGCCCCATGCACTCTGTCAACAAAGCATCCGTCGGTGGATTCATTTGGATTTGTTATCCTGTTTTGACCCTTCCCCCGCATTTAATTTGCCTCCTCGACGCCTGCCCCATCTCCCGGCCTCCAGGAGGATTTTTGTCACCTCCTGCAGCTGGGAACGCCTTGGCCGCCGCAACACCGCGATCTCCAAACAAAAATTGGACGCCGCAACGACGGCAGCGGGAAATCCGCGCGTGACCAACTGTGACACGCAGCTTTTTGAGAGGAAAGTGGCAAAGCATCATGTGACGAATCATGTGCCTTTCAGTGTTCTGCCTGATGGGTGCCTGTGCGCATTTCTGGCTGCCAAACTCCGCATGGCGTCACACGCTCAAATTGACACACTCGAATTGGCCAGCTTGTCCACGCTTTAAGTATTGCTCTTCGAAGCGTTGCGCCCACAAATCAAACTGGGCATGAAAACTGTTGACATCAAGTACATACAGTGGCAAGGTGGACTCAATTTCTTTGAGCAGGGGCAAGCGCCCCATGCCACCGAACCACATGATATCGCAATATTGCGTTCTGACCCAGGAATCATAGACCAGAGCTCCTTGCGCAAACAAAGGCTTGGGCCCTGAGGAGGTTAAAGGGATTTGATCTGCAAAGTCTGCCAGGTACAGTTCACTGTAGTTCATCCAGTTCTCGAGAGCCACCTTGCAGCCGTACTTGGCCCGAACGTAGATCGAAAAGTGTGTGAGCAAAGATTTGATGTAATAGTACGTGGGTGGCTGAGACGGGTTGATCCTTGTGTGATTTGAAAGGTTCAAGTTTAAAGGTGGCGTGAAAAGTCCGAATGCTGCTCGAAGCCCTACATTCGCCAGGCTCTCGCCGGCAAACAGAACACCATCATAGTCCAGGATTCGCACTCGCTCGCGCCCAAATACGGTAACAAGGTTTGCAATTGCCTCTGTTTCATCCCACCCTCCATGCCAGAAATAGTCTGAAGCACTCTCTAGAGTAATTCCTTTCATGCTGCTGAAGCGCCATTGAGAAAACATCTTTGATACTACATTCCGGTAGGTATAAACCACGGTGACATCAAAGTCGGACACCAAATCTCTTAACAATCTCAGTCGAAATGTTGGAAGACTGTGAAAGCCTTCACATGTCAAAATCACATTGCCCTCAAAAGTCTGCAAGAATTGGAGCACCTCAAACGTTTCGTTGAACTTTGCTTTGTATGGCTTGTTCATTGCTTTGGAATCTTGACCCGCCAATGTCAAGCCACAATGTGTGAGCTTCCACCACTTCGGGGAGGGCGGGAAGCCGATTCCACGGGCTTTCAATGCTTGTTCATTGAACAGCCAGGCCGACTGCATGGAAGAAGAGCCTGTTTTCCACGAACCGACATGCAACAGCAGCTTCCGGGCACCACGAGTTGGGGTCGGAGGAGGGTGGTAGGACTCGTTCCACTCGCGGGTGAGACGACACGTTTCCTCGCTTGGAGGGGGGGGGTTCGGCCGGTGCGGTCGGTTTGAATTTGCAGGATGCGCATAGATCTCGGTGAAAAACTTCCAGAGACTGGCCATTTGTGGCGGCCGTGCTGATGACCCAACCCAGAACGGCAACGGCACTCCCACCAGCAACTGCAACGGCAGCAGCTCTGGCTCTCATGGCGGCACGTGATACAAACCGTCAACTCTTGATCTCTTAGAGCCGATGATTTTTGAAAGTTACATTTTGGTCACACATGTTGCAAAAGCCCTTTCATGTCATAATCATCTCAGCTCTCTTGGGGCGAAAAAATGCATTTGAGCGTCTAGACGCCACAGGTGGAGTCCTTCCGCTCGACGCGCCGACCGCACGAGGCCGCCACTCCGTGGGCAGCGACCCGGGCAGCTGAAGTCCCTGTGGCCGGCGGGTTCAGGTTTAGGAAGAAGGGTCCAAGGCAGAACCGGGAACCATTGGTCCGGAAATCAGGGAGTTGTTGCATGGACTTCTTGGCCGGCAGGCTGGAAGAAAGTACATGTCAAGTGTTGGCCCGCCTGAGCCTCCAGCTTCACATTTCACACGACCAGCTCAAAAGGCATCAGCATGACATTGTTTCAAAGGGGCCCGTCGTATGTCTTTGGGGCATGTGTTCTGGGGCATGCCAGAAATCCTCATATATGGCCCTTCGTCCAACCCTGGAACCCTAAACCCTGGTGGGTCCCCAGTCGTCTCTTCGGTCCACCGGTCAGGTCAAGTCGGCCCCGCGGTCGCCATCTCCCGCAGTCTGCTCCCTCCTCAGTCGGCACATGACCAGTGCCAAGAAGTGCATCACCTGGCTGAGACTTGCGCTGCGACCACCGCGATCCGTTCGATCGGATTGCAATGAATCGCCCCTCATGGCCTTCAGTGAATCATTACCCTCCCTGAAACAATCATGGAAGTGGACGACCGACAGCCTGTTCGTAGAGGAAAACCGTCTTCCAAGGGTGTTTGTTGGATGGAGGGCACATTGAAACACATGTGGACCTACCGACCTAGAAACACAGCCATGTGGGCCTACCATTTTTTGGCGTAGCCTCTCCGATCTCGGAAGACGATGAGATTCATACGAGCAGCTCGAAACCAAACAGGTGGATAGGCAGGGCTTGCTTTGCACCAAAGCCCCTATTAACCGTTGAAAACCTCTGCAATTCCATTCTTACAGCCTCCCGCTGTTTGGGAGCAGGATAGTGGCAGCCCGCACAGGCTGGGCGATGTCAAACCTCCACCATGGACGACCACACATGAGCGGCCCCTTTTGGGGTGAGTACGGGGCCTATACACTGGAAGCATACCTACGCATCTGCCAACAAAGACGTTGCTCACATGGAATTGATTTGATCCTGGATGTGTTAAGAAGAGATGTGGCATGAGTCATGATGATTTTTGAAGGAAATCCAGGTCACATTCTTCCCATCTCTCCGGTAGATCGGCACCCATAAAAACCACCATGTGACTGGAAGTAGAGTGCAACCTGTGAGAAAAAATCCCTGCGCTCAAATGCACATCGAGCATTCATGGTGGTATGGTCCGTTCTCTTCATTTTTCTTCTCAATATTGCTGCGTTCAACCGCCCGCGGCCATTCGCTCTTCCTTCACAGCCTTCTGACCCTCATCCATTCGTTCAGCCTTGGTCTGGTACTGCTTGGCATGCGCCCAAGCCGTGCGCAATGCATCCGCAAACCTGGCCAACAAGGCATCATCCATCACCAGCAGCTGCCGCAGGGCCTTGGAGAACTCCAACTGCAGCGAGTGGGAAAAGCCTACGAAGCCCACGGCTTGCTGCGACTGCGTGTGACGATCCATGCCCCTCCAAGCACCTGAGAAGCGCGGGCACTCGTCCTCAGCCTCAGCCGAGGGGGGCGCTGCGACGCGCACCAGCAGCGCGCGCGGACGGAGGCGACCTGAGGTCGAAGCCTTCGACAGCACCTGCTGGAACTCATCGTGGAGGCGATCCCCAAAGTGTAGAGCCCATTCGAAGAGCTCTGAATCTCCAAGGTCAATGGCATGGAAGCACATGGCGCCCAAACCGATGGTCAAATGAGAAGGGGTATTGGGAGGATCTTGACATCCATGCACATCCACATGAAGGGTTTCTAAATATCTCCCATCTGGGGTCTGCATGCGTTGCAGGGCTTTGGACATTTGCTGGAACCATAAGTTCTGGTTCAGCTCTCCAGTGGCCAAAAAGTTGGGATCCCGGTTCCGAGGGTCCAGCAGATGCCCATCGCGGATGTCGAGAGCGCCTCTCTGCTGGTTCACCCGCTTGGACAGGCGCCACAGGAGTTCGGTGCGCCGCCGTTCGGACAAGGACCACGTCAGGCAGCTGCCACCCAAGTACTCGGCGATGCCACCCGCGATCTCAGCCGTGTTACCTTCCACCAGGTGTGGCGCTTGCCCATCTCGGAGGAGCGCCATGGAGTGGGGAGCCGTCACCAAGATGGGCCGTTGGCCCAAGGAGAGCTCACAGCGTGGGACCAACCAGTGACCATTGCGCGACTCTTCAGCTTCTGTGAGTAAAGGCGCCAGCTCTGACAAGTGCTCCAGGTCTTCTTCATCCTGCAGCTCGATCCACAACTTCTCCACTGAAACCCGCCAAAGCTGCACCAACTCAGAGAGTGGTTTGGGGCCCTCATGGACCACTTCCTCTGGTGTGGTCTCGGGCGGTTCAGGGCTCGCAGGGGTGCAAATGGTGGCGTGATCTTCCAGCCAGTCGAGCTTCTGACAGCTGCGGCTGCAGTAGGTCGCGGACTGGCAAATGGGGCAAACGCCTTCGGCCGCACGACCGCACACCACACAGCGCGCCGCGCCCGCTTTTCGGCGCGTGGGTGCCATTGGCCCGGAACGTGGCAGGGCCAACCATGGCAGAAGCGCAGATGAGCATTATAGCTTTGCACGCTTTGGCACCTACCTCTGAGGAACTTGCATCTTTGGTACACATCACATGCAGCTCAATACAACAAACCGTGCCCGGGGCGTTCTTGCGAACAATTTGAGTTGAGGGGACATGTCTTCCACATGCCAAGGTCTCATCCAAACATCACTTTCAATGACGCTCCGTGTGCTGGATCCATTGTGCCGCGCCCTTTAAGATGCAAGGTATGGCCCGACAAGAGCCAAGCAGCAACCCACACAAGAGCTGCCTGCTCTCCACGTGAAGTCTGGTTTCAATGTACCTTTGACTATGCAATCGCATGACTGTCAGCCTCCGCAACCCTTGTCTTGTGCATAGTAAAACGGGAACATGAGGTTCCCACAGTATCGTGGTAGCTCTTTGCAGATCGCTTGCACCTGGCAAGAGCATCTGATCCAAGTCGGGAGTTGCGAGATGGTCGAAAGGACACGGGAATGTTTGCAACCATGCTAGTTACTGTGGATTTGGTGAGCATCCAGCATCCCCATCCCCATTGCCAACCAACGAGCAATCTGTGATTTGATCATCCCGCATGACTTGCTGGCCGTTCTTAAGCATGTCTTGTTCCCTCTTGACACTCGTCTTGGGTCCCCACCAGTGCTCGAGATACATCGGCGATACCCAGACCTCAATGTGCCCCGTTTCGGCGACTGAAATCTCCTGAAACAACACGGATGGATCCAGGGATGGTGTTTCGATGGGCCGGCGGTGTACGGCTCGAACCTGGGTTCCGGCCCGACTTGCAGCAGTTGAAGCCTACCATCTACCATGTGAAATAGGATTAAATATGCTCCCCACATTCCAAATGACGTCCACTCCTAAGATTTTTGCACAAGACCCACCAGAAGAATTGGCCTCTCCTCGCTCCTCTTTTGCAGGCTGCAAGCAAGACTGGGACGACGGCCAGCTCCCAGAGTTTGGGGCCGACTTGGCCGATGCGGTCGCTTTCAATGCGGACAGGGGGCGGTGCTACCATGGGCATTTGCAGATCGGAGTTCTGGGCGCCTTTCCTTCGGTCAACCTAGTCACCCTGCCTGACTTCCCATGACATTGCCAACTGGAGGCCATAACATCAATTTCACTTGGCCCCCACACACTCGTCCTCCAACCACTTGAGATAGCCTTCGTTTCCACCAATGGCTGACCATGCGACGCTCACCCCAGCACTGCCTTCCACCAAAGTTTTGCACTTGTTCAGCGTCTTCACTGCCAATTGACCTCAGGGAAGTTCAACAAACACAAAACAAAAGAAAGACCCCTGACAGTTGGGCATGAACGAGGGTTCGGCAACGGCAGCAAGCGCCCTGCCTTTGCCAAACGATGCTGCTCTGCAACGTGGGAGCCTTTTCAACGTGCCATGCAAGCATCGCAACACGGCAACATGTCGGCATAGCACATGTGCCCACATATGTGAAAACAAGACAATGCCGCAGCAAGCAAGCAAGCAAGCAAACAAGGAAGGAAGGAAGCAAGCAAGCAAGCAAGGAAGCAAGGAAGCAAGGAAGCAAGGAAGCACGGAAGCAAGCAAGCAAGCAAGTAAGCAAGGAAGAAAGGAAGGAAGCAAGGAAGCAAGGAAGCAAGGAAGCAAGCAAGCAAGCAAGGAAGGAAGCAAGGAAGCAAGGAAGCGCAAGGAAGCGCAAGGAAGCGCAAGGAAGCGCAAGGAAGCGCAAGGAAGCGCAAGGAAGCACAAGGAAGCGCAAGGAAGCGCGGAAGCGCAAGGAAGCAAGGAAGCGCAAGGAAGCAAGCAAGGAAGGAAGCAAGGAAGCAAGGAAGCAAGCCAGCAAGCCAGCAAGCCAGCAAGCGAGCAAGCCAGCAAGCGAGCGAGCAAGAACCAGGAATCTAGCATGTCAGCACGGCAGCATGAAACGTAGCGTGACCAATCTCAGCGTTTTATGCCTCTCAGCCCGTGTGCGGCCCTAGTGTCAGCGTGCCAACGACGACACCATGTCAGTATGACAGCCTGCTTGCAAGTCAGCATGGCAAAACAACAGCATGCTAGAAGTAACGGGCTGATGTCTTGGCCCATCATCTCCGTTTTTTGTCCATCCAGTTTGCCAAAAAAACCTCCGCCTCTTGTGGTCTTTCGTGTTAGAGACCCCGTCTTTCGCGTTTCATCGGCTGCTTGCTCGGCCCGGGGCACCTGAGTCCGACGCCTGAGCACACGCCACGAGCCGTTGCTCCACGAGCCGCTCCGCCAGTTGGATGGCTTCGTGGGAGCTGGACAGCGTCAGGCTCCCCTTCCAGTACGGCTGCTCGGTGAAATCCTGAGATGGGAGTGACGTGGTCTGCGCCCACATGTGACATGGTTCCGTCGTATAACGGGTCTTAGGTTGTATAGTATACTGTGGTTTGCGGATTTTTCTGCAGACTTGCTGGTTGATGAAGTCGAAGTCCAAACCATCTACCATAAATCCATATATTAGCATGGGCCAAAAGGTCCAATTAAATTCCTGGTTGTACAGTAAGTGTCTGCTTACGCTAATGTTGGGTCTTGATTAGTATAAACACCACCCTGTAGCAAACAATCCAGGGAGTCTAAAAAGAAGCACCGCCACAAAAACAATTAGCTGTAGTAGTCGTCCTCATCGTGGTGGTGGTGGTGGTGGTGGTGGTGGTGGTCGCGGTAGCAGTAGCAGTAGCAGCAGCAGCAGTAGTAGCAGTAGTTGTTGTTGCTGCTGCATCAGTAGTAGTAGTCGTCGTCGTCGTAGGTAGAAGTAGGAATAGGAGTAGGAGTAGCAGTAGCAGTAGCAGTAGTAGCAGTAGTAGTAGTAGTAGAGTAAAAGTAGCACTGGTAGTAGCAGCAGCAGCAGCAGCAGCAGTAGTAGTAGTAGTAATAAGTAGAAGTAGTAGTAGTAATAATAGTAATAAGTAGTAGTAGTAGTAGTATGTTTATTTCTATTGTGCAGTAGTTGTAGTAGTGGTGGTGGTGGTAGTAGTAGTAGTAGTGTGTAGTAGTAGTAGTTATATTTAGTAGTAGTATTTAGTAGTAGTAGTAGTAGTAGTAGAAGAAGTAGTAGTAGTAGTAGGTAGTAGTAGTATGTAGTATGTAGTAGTATGTAGTAGTATTTAGTAGTATTTAGTAGTATTTAGTAGTATTAGTCGTCGTCGTCGTAGTAGTAGTAGTAGGAGCAGCAGCAGCAGCAGTAGTAGGCAAATCAAGAATTCTTCAAAAAACACCCTGGGTGGAAAAACTACTATTTTCCGCCCCATTAAACTACTGTAATCAGGGTGTGTATGGGTGTGTGAATGATGTGTCGAAAAGTTATTTTTTCCGTCCCATTATGCTAATTTGGATGCAACATTATTGCTTACGCTTTGCTCACGCGACCACATGTTAAGTGTGTATGCACAATATTTATATATCTATACTTATATCTATATAGATATAGATATGGATATGGATATAGATATATCATTAGATTATTAGTTTAACATGATTCCTATGAACGTCGGGAACCTAGAAACTGTGGTCATACACGTTTTTGGTCGCGGGTCATTCGGTAGGTCGTAAATGATCATCGGTGTGTCATAGCTATGCACCTTGGAGATGATATCTCTCGCTGTCTCAAAGGGAGCAGTGGTGGTTACCACAACTCTCCACTCAGGATCGAAGTTGACCTTGCCATCCCACCAGTAGTAGCTCTTGATCGGCTCGATGCTCACCTCAGGACGCTCGAAACTTGATTTTACATGCTCACTCAGGAGAGAAAAAAAAGAATAGAACGCCTTGGAGTTGGACAGGAATCTGATTTTGAACCCTTCCCACCTCTGCATCTGGCAAGGTCTTACTTGCAGCTGCAATTTTATCGGCCTTATCTGCAGCATCTTCAGTCGTCCACACCGTTATGGACATCTTTGACCGTTCTAATGCTCCAAATGCCCCTGGCGTATTCAGCCACAGAACGAAGCCAAGACCTGTGATCGCGAGGAGGGAAGCCGCGCGCCGTCCCATGCAGCGATCCTCCCCGAGCAAAAAGGGGCTCCGTCTCCGTCTCGAGCCACTTGAAGCGCATGTCGCGGAAATGATTAGGGACCACTGAACGACCACTAGTCTAGTGTGCCGGCAGCTGATGATGGACCCTAAATCACCGTGATGGACATCTTTTCGATTTGGGGTCCATACAGTGCCGTCCTCGGACCCAGATCTAGAGGGCGAACTCGAGAAGGCCCACAGAGAAGGGCCTGAACTCTGGGTCTCTGGCGTTCCGCTTCAGCAATTTCCTGGTGAGTCTCCTGCGTTCGACTGGGCTGGTTGAGGCGCCCAATTGCCCAACAGTTGGACAGTACAGGCCTACGCCTACTCCGGGTTGGACGTAGAATAGAATGAGGAAAGCAAGTCTTCACCCTAACCATGGATGTCGGCTGTTCGGCCTCCGACCCAACGACAACAGCGGCTGGGGACCAGAGAGCAGCACCCGGACCTCCTCCAAAGGTCTCATCAGATTGGGCCCTCTCATGGGCAATAAGGGATTCGGCCTGGCCAGGCGAAGGGGGCCAGAAAAACTGCTGACTGAACAGAAGCCCGCCCTCGAGATCCACCCAGGCCACGAAACCTCCAATCCAGAAAAAAACAACAGTCTGGCCCTCTTGAACGAATCCCTTCTTGTGTGCCGTGCGTGTCACGGCGCGGTCTCCCCGGCGTGCGTCCACGCGCTTTCCGGGGCCGCCCCAAACGGCGGCTTCCCCGCGTGCTTCGCCACGCTTGGGCGCCCCCCACGACAAGCAGAAGAGCCGGGAGATGCTCAGTGACAACACCGACGCCTCGAAAACGCTCAGCCGGTGCGTCGCATCGGCCCCGGCGGGGCGCCCGGTGGTGTTCTCCGATGTAGCACCGAACCACATGAACAAACCCGGTCCGACCTGTGCCGGGCTTCGAGAGTTGAACAGACCCAACGCGATCTGGTTTTGGTGGATGTCCTACACTGGTGCCCTTGGCGTCCTGCTTAGTTCCGAACGTGAGGGGGACGTAGGGCGTCTCTCCCTCTCTTCCTCTCTTCCTCTCTTCTTCCATTTGTGATGCTATCAAGAACAAAACCAGCCAAGCAACAGAGGTTGAAGGACCCTAGTTCGACTATCCCATTAGGTACCCAAGTCACGGGTCCTTTTTCAGGTCACTTGAAGCCAAAAAAAGATTCAGGTGCGGACAGCCGCTGGGGAGCCCAGGTCCACGACCTGGAGATCGTGCGCAAAATGGCAAGGAATTTGCCCGCAAAAAAACTCCGAACTCCTTGTGTTGAGCGCAAGCTCGAAGCACGAACCGCTTCTCTTCTTCTTCTTCTTCTTCTTCTTCTTCCTCTCTCTCTCTCTCTCTATCTTTCTCTATCTTTCTGTCCTTCTTGTATTATGTCTATCTCTCTCTCCCTCTCTCTCTCTCCCCCTCTCTCCTTCCGTTTCTCTCCACCTGTCATGCGAGCATGATGCCTGATGCCACGCTACCTCCGAACCAAGTGTCACCTCCGCCGCACTTTCCACCTCCGCTACCAAGCATCACCGCGAACGCAGCGCCTTGTCCAGCAACGTCGCAACCACATTGGCTGAGGATCTGAGTCGCCGATTTGGGGCGACGTCGCCCCGAAGAAACAACGGTCAGGTCTGAAAACCGAGGCGACATCCTGCGACTCTGTGTGAAAAAGCCGAGGCGACATCCAGGTAGGCAAGCCAAAGCTAGAAACCCAGGGGCTTCACGTCCTGCCCTCGGAATCTTCAGGGGAAGCGTCTGCCGCACTTTCGTGCGTCTTAGCCAGCAGCATTTGCTCCAGGATCGCTGCACCGAAACGAAGACCGTGGCATGCCTGACGTCAGGCCAGCATGCATCGGAGGTGTTTTGCGAAAACTGTGTATCTTTACGTACATATACATATACATGTGTATGTAGTGTGTGTAGGACTATAAGCACAATACAGTACATGATATATCATGAGAAGTTCACTGGACATGGCATCCGGGACACCATGGCATCCGGGACATGGCATGAAAATGCTTGAAACAACTGCACAGGCAGGGAAAAACCTTCTAGGAAGGGAAAAAACCTGCCACAGTGAAACAAAGTGAAACGAGGCGACGCGAAAAGTGCTGCCATGACAGCGGGTCAGAGCAGGATAGGGAGCTGGGCACTCCACCAAGACATCTTCGTAGTGGTGCACTGGCCCCCAGGGCTGAGGCATAGACCATGTCGCCCCCGCCATTGGTTTCCCCGCACAGTCAGAGAACAGAAACCAAGGCCCACTGTACTGACGACCGTCGTGTTGCAAGAGAAAAATGCAATAAAATGTCGGGGTCCAGGAAGAGGAAAGGCAAGAAGCGAACAGCCACCAACGGCAATTCACGGTTCCAGGAGCAATATATAGTGTGTATATATATAATATATATATATATTAGTGTACGATGTGTGTATATGTCATGTGTGTTTTATCGTGTCTCTCTCTCTCTCTCTCGCTCTGGAGTCTATACTTGGTCTACCTATCGCAGTCACACGGGCAACACTGAAACCTGATGACATGCCGATCAGACAAGGGACTCGGCCACCAAGCCTGCGATACAAGGGTCTTGATGACCAAGGCTAAGTTCTCATCCGCGTCATCCCCATCAGGGCGAGCGCCTGGGAACACAGGAGCCAAACAGAAGCAGGACGGGACCACCACCGAACTGTTGCTGAGACGGTGGTCTTGGTGTGAAGCATTGGCGAACCAGCCATGACATATGTCTGCACTTGTAAATGGTAAGGGGCGCAAAAATTACCAATCAGTGACGCACTCACATTGACCATGTTTGTCGCACATAAGCATGTGCCAGGATGCGGGTAGCACCTGTGCCTAATTCAAGCCCTCCCGAATCCCGAACATGGGATGTCCAGTCCATCCTGCCCTCCCTTTTCTAGCTGCTAGCTCCTTCTTGACACTCCACGAGTCAGCAATTGCAGAAAAGTGGGATGCGTTCCAAAGCTTCCCAAGCCTCGAGAAAAGGACATCCTTCCCAGAAACCTGGAGAATTCCAGACCCAGAAACCTCCAAATTGGAACGTTCCTCAAGTTCATCAACACGTCCGAACCTGAAAACAACGATCTCTCGCACCTGACGAAAAAGCAGCTGATCTGATCATCCCCAAACATCCACAGCTTTTGAGCAGTTCGAGTCCCCAGTCACGTGCCTTGGAACTGCTCGACCAAGCGAATCATCAAGCCCTCCAGGGGGAAAAGCATTCCCTCCTCCGACTCCTTAGTTGCTCCGCGCGCGCCCGTTCTTCCTTGGTCCCCCTTGGGTAAAGCCACGGGGGCTGAAGGTCCAACTGCCCCGTCTACCACCTTCTTCCAGTCCAAGACCGACATCCGTTGTCCAGTTCAAGATCTGTGGCGTACATATCATTGACATAGATATGAATCTATTCACGCTGGTTTCGTGGGAAAGCGATGCACGCATCATTCTTCCTTTAGCACCACAGTAAGTAAAGAGGTGTAGAAGGCTCCAACCGGAAGAATACATGTGAACTATATATATACCCTGTATACAATCAAGAAGTACATTCAGTTCAACTTGCTTTACTTTTACAATTAAATTGTTTTACAATCCTTGTTACGAACTCTTGAATAAATAAGCTATACCACATGTTGAGATCGACTTGCAAGCGCCCAGCTCAAAGAACTTACATCACAAGCCCGTCCAGGCACCCTAAGGCCAGCACAGTCAGCAGCAAAGCCACAAAGAGCTCTGCAATACACCTGACGTGTGGTTGATAACGCCCCTCCTTGTCTGCACCACATGCCGTATCTGTGCACTTCAGTGCCGTGATTGCCTCTTAGAAGCCTTTATATAGATGACTCAAAGAAGCCAAAAAGGCACGGACTTCGCCACCCCTTCGCCTGGTCCCCAAGAAGAGCATGAAGTTTGCAAAGACCGCATCGCCTCGAGTGCGCAGGTAGCCAATCACCTGTCAGCTGCACAAGATCCTGGACTCACTGATGAAGCTCCCCAAAAGAACAAGCGAAATAGCAACATGTCTGGACATCGTGTCCTTTCTCTAACCTGCTATACGGCTTCTATACGGGACCTCACTGAAGTAGGCCCCCGAATTTCCCCTTCGGCCGGACGCGATGCCGTGAACGCCGCAAAGCCCACGATGGTGCGACGACCACGGTGAGGCACCTGGCCAGGAAGGTGGTGAAATAACGCCAGCACGACGCCACAGAAGTAGCCCGCCAGCACCTGAGCTCAGCCATGGCCTCACCCCTCCTTCGGAGGGGGAGCACGTTTGGGACGAACCTTCATGGAAATGGAATTTCTTATCCAATACAGAACTGGCTGGGGAAAGAAGACCGAACCTAAACGTGAAATCATGGCGCTTGAGACAAGAACTGGTACCGTTAACAGCGAACCCAAGACCAGCTGGAGGGTGGCGCATGCGGGCTGGGCGCGGCACGTTCCAGCTGGATGTGCTGGAGTCCACTGGAAGGTCCAACAAGAACCCCCACCTAAGGCGAGCGGTCTCGGCGGTCTTGGCTTTATGGTGCACCTTCCCCGACTCGGGTTCAACGAAGTTCAAGGAAGGCGTTGTGGCGTTAGAGGACTTGAGGAACCTCACATATTGAAGTCAACAGCAGTGCTCGTTCAATCGCTTTTACTATTTGTTCATGGTGAAATTGCTGCTGGTGTCGACCTGGGTGCTTCTTTTTTCCGGAGCCCTGCTGAAGCCCCGGGTCTCCAAGCAACAAGTCAAGCAAGGTCGCATCCTCCTCGGAGCGTGACGAGGGAGTCCCAAAGGCTGTTCCAAAGCCATCCAACCCCCAAAAATAAAAACCATGGAGGCCATGAGAGTGCAATCCGAGAATGGAGCGAAATGGTGAAAATGGAGCCACCGACTTTAGATCCCTCAAGTTCAGGGAAGTGGAGAAGCAGCATGAAATTCGTGGAGAAGGCTAAACCATTTTTCACGGATTTGTGAGAGGTTCATCAGTCTCCAGCATGCTCATGCATCTAGACCATTCCAATCCTAACTGTTTTGGCTGTTTTGGTAAGGCCCACAACTCGCTTCAGTCCCATGGGCTGGTCGCACAGTTCAGAGCCAGCACAATTGCAGCGGTGTTCTCAACTTCGAGGACATGCGTCTTCTCATTCCGTGCAGCTGCTCATGGAACCCAGTCCACACCTCCCAAATCTGCATCGTCCGCACCCAACACAGGAGTCATGACGGAGTCACATGCACCTCTCGACCGACCGACACGTCCGCGTCGACTCCAAGGTCCCAGGAGTTCACCCCACCGACCTCACCGGTGTCCGAGAAACCCGTGAAGAGTGCCCGCAGGTACCCCCCACCCAGAAGAGCTGCAGCACTCGAAGCTTCCAGTGGTCGTCCTGGCACACACCGGTCCCCCAAACGCAGAAGCGTCCGAGAGGGTGAGACGAACGTGCGTGCGTTTGGGGGCCTCGTCGTGGGGCGTTCAGGCCGAAGGAAGGTCAGTTTCAAGGCGGGGCTGCCCTTGAAAAGCCCTGCAGGATAAAAGAATAGACTTGAAACACTTTGCAGTAAGTCCTGCCCACTGCCGGATCTTAAGCCGTCTTCGAAGAAATTGGGATCCACTTTCGGGAACTGACCGGTTTTTGCCAAGCTGGGACTGCAAAATGCTTCTTCCAGAGGCTTTTTGTGAGAGGATTGAAGGCAAACATCACCCGAACTGATGCAGGCCATACTCTCTGATCTTCATCCAGCACCCTGATGCCCGGCCCTCCCCCCCTTCCCCCCTCTTTCTTCCGCAGGGCGCGATTCGCGTCTACGGGCGCGAGCGGGACTGGAGCATTTCGTACTCCTTCACCGGCATTTCCGGGCCCAGGCCTCGGGAGTTTCAAGGGGGAAGGGGAATGATTCTCTTGAGATAGACCCACCAGGAGTGAGGGAGGAGCCATGGCCATACATCCTCCGAAAAATCGGAAGCGGGCTGCCTATTTGTCAGCCTGTTGTTATTTCACTTTATATAAATCCTAGAATAAATTAGAATAACATGGTGTGACTATATATTCTTAGTTGTGGTGTGAACCTGATAGCACACTTGCAACTGATAAAGGTGAAAAAACAAAAAATGAACAAAAAGAATGCAGCACGTCAAGCACTGACAGGAAGCCCTTAATGCAGTGCTTCATGAGAAGCGCGTTGTAGACACTGTTCAACACGGAAGCCACACATGAGGCCACATGAAGACCCAGTGCTCCCATGTCGAAGTGGTATCCCAGGAAGCAGGCGAGGGGTAGCTGTACCACCCATTGAAAGGCAAACAATCCGGCAGATACGGCGCCCTGACGACCTAAACCCGCAAAAATCCCACTGCAGCAGCTGTTGAAGCCATCGGCCAGCAGCGACAGCAAGACGCAAACCAACAATTTCCCGAAGATCGCTTGCGTCTCTCGCTCGTCCGGTAGCAACATGTGGGTCAAGTGCTGCCGGCCAAACCAGCAACTCGCTGAGAGACCGCTGCACATTACAAAGGTGAGCAGCAAACAAGCACGTACCACTTTCCTCACTCGTCCCACATCCTCCCGCCCCGCGGCGGCACCCACCAGCGCGGTGGCCGCCTTGGGCGCGCCGCGCACCACCAGGAAGGCCCAGTCCGAGGCGGTGGTGGCCGCCACGTGCGCCGCGAGCTGGGTGTCTGAGCGCAAGCCACCGGCTAACAAGGTGAGCATCTCCTGATCTCCCCAGCCCGTGTGAGGACGGAAAAAATAGAAAAGGTGACGAGATGTGAGGAAGGAAGGCCCAGAAGGACTGGAAGGAGCTGGAGGCGTGGACGCCTCCATGTTGCTCGCATCTTCTTCGTTCACCACACCCCCCTGAAATTGCATTGGGGTGATATACACTAGGGGGAATGAAGGGGCACCTAGACCCAAGTGTTCACCTCAAAGTTCCCGGGTGAAATCATCTCGTGGCACCGTAGTGAACCTCTGCCGTACGTCAAGCAATTCATCTTGGACCTTGCTCCCCATGGCTTTTCTTCTCACCTCACTCCTAGAAATACTGATGTTCAATCTAAACACTTCGAAAGGCCCACCTCCCTCTCGTCCCGTTTCACTCGCCCACTCCAAGTCTCATAGGCCCACCAGTCGAAACCGTACATGGCCACGCTGGGCACCGCGATGGTGGCATAGGAGGCCAAGCCTCCGGCGCCCGCGCTGCAACTCCAGATGCGCCACCAGCCAATGCAGCTGGGGGTTGGTTGAAGAAAGCTCATGTAGCCTCGGGCGGTTGGGCCCTGAAAGCCGAGCTGGGAGACCACCCCCCACCTCCGAGTGACGCCATGCTGAGGTGAAACATCCAAGTCGGATGAAGACCGATCTTGAATTTCAGAAGCTCCATTATGCACACCCTTCCCACCAAAGATCTGCTCAACCTGTCAACCATCCACTCTCCAATTCTATGTCTGTAGACTCTTGATTAATAAACCCCCCATATAAAGAAGTTGTTCAATCCAAATGCGGAGGGTTCATGAATCAAGGGTCTACAGTACGTTACTATACATGATGCTTTCTCAGAGGTGCCTGCAAGGAGGAGGAAGGACACGGCCGATTTCACCGAGAAGGCGATTCCAATGGCCACGAGCGGATCACAAACATGGATCTGGTTCAGGAGCACAACGCACATGGCCCAGTGCGCAGGCACCGCACCAACTAGAACCCAGAAGCCTGGCGAAGGGATCTGCTGATTCATTAGGAACTTCCTGAGAGCATCATACTGAAACTCCAGCCAGACGCCGGGGATGCAACTCAGAACATATCTGAAGGTATCAGCAGCTAGCTGCTCGGTGGCGCAGCCCGTGAGAATCAACATCTGCTCAGTGGAGAGCAGCAGCAGGGAGCAAATGGCCGCCAGGAAAACCATCCAAATCCTCAGCATTTGAGCGCCTGGTGCAACAAAGGGAATCAAGATTGCCTGTGCAAATGATATGATTCTGAATGCAGAATGATGAAATGTGCATTGCGCACGCAACAAAAATCAGGGGGCTCAAAACCTACAAGGATCTGGCAGCAGTTGAGATGATCCCGTGCCTTTCGATGATCTTTCAGCCCATGAGCTTGTGACACCAGCGTATCTTGAGCACCAGTCCATCCCGATTTCACCACGAGCGCCACACAAATCACCACGGTATTGCCCAGCCCCACCGCGCCCACCCGGCGTGTGGCCTCAGCCTCCGTGGGGTTCCCACCATGCGCCGCAGCCCAAATGGGCACCAATGTGGCTGCGCCCTCCAAGGCATATGTCGCAGTGATGGGTACCACAAAGCGCAAGATCTGCTGCCACAGTGGCGTGTCCGTGTAGTCCGAGGTCATGCGTCGCATGACAGCGCGGCGCCTGACAGGCGCCGCGGCCTCCAAGGCCGCGCCTCAGCCGGGCACGCGGTGCTGGGGGTGGACAGCTCCAAAACTGTGGTGAAGCACTTCGGGCCAAATGGCAAGTTTTCCACACACACCGAATTGAAGCGGTAGGACATCGGCCCGCAAGCGCACATTGACCTGCTTGCGGTTCATTTTCGGGTGTGGTATCAGAAAAGGCCGGTTCTCTATCTCTGTACATTTTTGCGGATGTGTGTGTGTGTCTTTATCTAGACGTACGTGGATATATTACAGTAATATATATATATACTGTACACATGTACATCTATACTATACACAGGTACATCCAAAAACTATTCAATCTGCAGTATGTGGCTTTACTTTTCAGGAAGGCGTATACCACATACCAAGATCAGAGGAATATGTGATTAATGTATATTTTATTGATTGAATTCATTCGTTGAAGCAAATGCCTTCAAGAAGGAGCAATTAGGTGATCAGCCGAAATTAAAAATCTGCCGTGTCGCAACGGGACCCTCGAAGTCCTTGCTTCGATTGGAGCGGCTAGTATTGGCAGCACTTGGGGCATGTGAGCCTTTGACCTGCTCATATGTCCAGGAATCTCGGCCTCATTTGTATGTGCACTGTTGGTATCACAAACCTTTGGGCATAATGACAAGTCACCTGGCTTCTGTGGCGGCTTTCTGAAGTGATATCTGAGGCAAAACGATGTAAAAAGAAATCCCCCCAAAACCACAGAGACTTGATTGAAGCACCGAAAAAGGGATGCCACCCAAAGCCAGCAGAAGCCGCCACGAAAAGCCAAGAAGCCAGTACAAGCCAAATCTAAGAAGCCAGCCAACAGCCAACACAAGCCAATAAGCCAGCCCCAACCAAAACCTAAGAAGACAGCCAAAAGCCAAAACCAAAGAAGCCAGCCAGAGGCCACCACAAGCCAGAAGCCAAAAAGCCAGCCAAAGGCCACCACAAGAAGCAAAAACCCAAGACTTAAGAAGCCAGTTAAAAGCCACCACAAGCCAAGAAACCAGCATAAGCCAAAGCACAAAAACTGCCACAAAATGAGTCTGGATTTGCCGACTTCGCTGCATACAGTGATTGAATCACTGGAAGGTCACTTGCATTTGAAACCACCATGGCCGCTCAAGTACCATGGCAGCACATCGCTGCCACTTCGTCGGATCCAAAATGAGCATCAAATTCCTTTAGGGGGCGGTTGGTTGCCTTCTTGAATCGACGGATTGATTGGTAGGGCCGTCGTTGCCAGAACAATCATTTTTTCACCAGCCCGTCCCTATGGCCAACCGTTCTCACGAAAAAAATGACTTGCTGCTTCCCCAAAGGCATGCACAAGTCATGATGACCTGTGCCGTGACCGTCCCAAAAGAAAATCGTGTAGACTCTTGATTCGTAAATTCCCCCCGTTTGAACTGGAAATCCTCTTCCACCACTCGCGCACACTCGAAGTCAGGTCTCGAAGAGTGTACATTGCTGGCTGCATTCCACAGCTCAGCATTGGACACCCCAAAGAAAAGGATCAGCTACACACTTGGCGGCTGTGTGTCGGTCATCGGCAAGTGTGCTACACTCCCATGTATTCAGCTTCATTATGGGGGGGTTCACAAAACAGGCATAGTGTAAACCCATACTGTAGCTTCATGTTGGACGTGTCCTCAAGGGTCTACAGTATGGCACCGTCCAAAACCCGGGACTTTGAGAGTCGTCCGGACTCGGGGCCGTCGAGTCCAAAGCAGGCGCTGTTTGACTCGTGGCGCGCGCGAAAAGGCATGCGCGCCAATTGGTGTCTCAAGCTCCAGTATCTCGTGGTGTTGTATTATACTACTACGTTCGATCTATAGAACAAATCCTATACACTGTGCATATATATATATATATACTATATATATATATTATATACTTATATACTACATGTATACATAATGTCAAGTTACGATTAATAAACCTCCCCTAGTTAATCCGAAGACACAAACCCACCAGAAATTGCCCAAATTAAAAATATTATTCGTGCCTATTTCCCCCCCTAATCTTCTAGTTGGGCATCAGATCCGAACCCACAACCAGGTCAATTGTTCGTATTACTACTACTACTACTACTACTACTACTACTCCTACTCCTACTGCTACTGCTACTGCTACTGCTACTGCTGCTACTGCTGCTACTGCTGCTACTGCTGCTACTGCTACTGCTACTCCTACTACTACTACTACTACCACTACTACTACTACTACCACCACCACTACTCCTCCTCCTCCCCTGCTGCTGCTACTGCTACTACTACTAGTACTACTACCACTACTACTACTACTACTACCACTACTACTACTACCACCACCACTACTCCTCCTCCTCCTGCTGCTGCTGCTACTGCTACTACTACTAGTACTACTACTACCACCACCACTACTACTACTACTACTAATACTACTACTAGTACTACTACTACTACTACTACTACTACTACTACTACTACTACTACTACTACTACTACTTACCTACTACTACTACTACTACTACTACTACTACTACTACTTACCTACTACTACTACTACTACTACTACTCCTACTGCTACTGCTACTGCTACTGCTACTCCTACTACTACTACTACTACTACTACCACTACTACTACTACTACCACCACCACCACCACCACGCCTCCTCCTCCTCCTCCTGCTGCTGCTGCTGCTGCTCCTTCTCTGCTACTGCTACTGCTACGTGCTACTACCACGACCACCACCACCACCACCATCACCACCTACTACCTACTACATGTTTGATGAAATCCTTAAAAATGTCTAAGGCTCAGGGCCTATAAATTGCCTTATTAAAAAACAACTAAAGACAATCATTTGACAAGCTCACAAAGGTACCCTCACAAGCGCCTCTATGGGGAGGCAAAGAGTGCCTGGAGAGATCGTGGAGGACTTGCGGAAGAGGCATCGACGAGGCCTTCCAGACCGGACTTCTTGCCACCATCTTTTCAACGGGAAGGTTGTCCAAGCCAGTACGACGACGGGTACACCCTCCCCGCTACATCCCGGAGGAGCACCAGTACAAGGTGAACTTCAACGTGGCCGTTCAGCGGAAGTGAGGGAGCCTGGAGGTGAACCTAGTCGGAATGGCCATCCGCAAGAACATGAGCAGGTGGCACTACGAGAACGAGGAGACCTACCTGAAGGCGGACTATATCCGGGAGGCCATCTACTACAAGGTCATGGGGTCGCTACACCACCGCCGGCACCAGGGTGGAATGAGCAGGGATCCTATGGTGGAATGGGGCATGAACAACAAATGATGATGATTCAGATGTTCAACATGCTTCGACAAGAAAATCAGGCACTACGAGCTGAACAAGGGGAGTTGATGCAAGAGATAAAACATCAACGAGCCAGCTTTGAAGCGAGAGTGCACCAACTTCAGCGAGACCTGGACAGCAGACCTTCCGAACGCTGGAGAGTGGAGAGTCGGTTAAACGTCAACTTGATCTGGCCGCAGGGGAGTCAAACGAGGCGTTGGAGTGTCGGGACCTGAGGCAGAACGAAGACGGCTCTATGAAATGACCCCTATGCAGCAGATTGAGCACTTGCAGCAGATGATGGGTGGTCCCACCAATCCGGCACCAGGTGAAACACGACAAGGACAACGCTTTCGAGCTCCACCGGAACGCTCCAGATCCATTCAAGGGACAAGGAGAAGGAATAGTGATCAAGCTCAGCGGCCACCTCCTGGAGTCCCCAAAGTACACGATTCCGGAAAAGGTGGAGTACAACCTCCTGGGAATGGCAAGGGTGGTACTGCAATACAGTCGAGGGCAACCAAGGGGACTACATCGACCTCAGCGGCGACGGAACCCCTGACACGGCTCCCATAGACCTGGCTGACTGGCTCACGGTGATCGAGCCGGCAATGACCCTATAACCACTACATTCATCTTCGACCACTTCAACGCGCTAGCTGCTCCATCGAGCCCTCTGCTGAGCTCAAGAAGCCTCGCTGGACACGAGTGGAGAAGCGGGCAATCAGCATGATGCTCGCAGCAGTGCCAAGCACAGTGAAAGAGGAATTGGTGGCTACCCGAGCTCTGTCACCGTTGAGGTTGGTGTGCAAACTCATGGTTCTATATCAACCAGGTGGCATACATGAACGCACCATCATCTTGAGACAACTTGAAGAAACAGTCGAAGCAGGGTCTCGAAGCGATGCCTGCATGGGGTTGCGCCGTGGATGAGGTGGCTCTGCCTTGCCTCGGACATAGGATTAAACCCAGATTCGACCATCCTGCTGAAGGGGATCAACAAGTCAATTGTCAACAAGTTGAGTCGAAAGGTGCTCCAACAGCAGCCAGAGCTTCAATTCCGCTGCTCGCTGGTCCGAAGCACCCTGCAGTTGGACACCATCCCAACAAAGGAGACGGTGAGGACCTTCGCGGAGCATTTGCTAGCTGAGTTGGAACAGCTGATGCACAAGGTGAGGCAGCCAGCAACAACAACGAAGCCGACGGCATCTGGCAATCCGCAGGTGAAGTCCATCCAGCAAGAGGAGAAGAAGACTGACTCCCCAACGAGAGGAGTGGGCAGGCACTTCAACACGGAGGCTGGATGTCGGCGTGGCCAGAGCGGTGGAGGGAACAGAGAGGCGTTGCTTTGTCTGTGGTTTTGCAAAGGAGTGCCCGAGAAAACCAACAAAGGGAAAGCCATCTCATGAGGGGAATCCCGAAGGAGAAAAACCATAAGGTCCAGAAGCTCAAGGAGAAGGGCACTGGAGGCGGATCTTCCAACGACTCGGGGACCTCCTTGTCACCGCAAGCTCCGTCGGCCAACCTGTGGGTCTGACCTGGCGGAATCCACGGCAGGAAGTGCAGAGGGACTGAAAGGGGTCTTGGAGGAGGCGCGCAAACTCCTTCGAGGCATGAATATGAAGGATGGGCCGGGGGGTAGCCAGACGGACCTCACCAAAGCCCTCAGACAG